GAGCAGCATGCTCAGCCCCACGCAAGCAGGTCTTTGACGAGACCCTCTGGACCCAGGAAAAATGTGGAGTAGCAGCCCATGGGATGGCAAATCACCATCGAGAAGCGATGTTCCTTCCTCTCAGGGCACACCGATTGCCTTTCCGCTTACAGCGGCGGCAAACTGCTGCATGCATGACTTGCGTCTAGTAGTCAGCACACGCACACACGCAATGTCATTCAATATGCTTGCGCATACAAATCGTTTTTGAGCAACTGCATCAGTCTTGCCCCCAGCAATCCTCGGCATGACCACTGGAAAAGCTGGAAAACCTGAGTTGGGTCTCTTGACCCACTTCCACTTCACCAGCACCTGAGTGAGTACAGCACGTCCAAGAAAGCAGCCCGAATTGCTCTATTTTGGAGATTTTGCCCCGTGCCCGAACAAACTGTTCGGAGCCCCTCCCAAGGGCTCGTCTCATGTTTGATCCCGTCAATTCTGAGCCCACGGCTCGCGGACTTGCGCTCACCTCATCCTTCCCCTCAGGAGCCTTGCCAGCGAGCGCCTCTGCAGGAAGCTTCACCGGCTTCGCCTCCGCTGAGACTTCCTTCTTTTCGTTGGCGTCCTTCGCCTCCTTCGCCTCCTTCGCCTCCTTCGCTTCCTTCGCTTCCTTCGCTTCCTTCGCTTCCTTCGCTTCCTTCGGCTTCGCATCCTTTGCCTTCTTTGCCTCCTTTGGTGGGCTTGCTGGCGGTTTGGAGGCCGGCTTCGAGGCCGGCTTGGCCTCCTTGGCTTTTGCCTTCGCCTTCTTTGCACCGACTTTGGATGCGAGGCGAAGCTTCCTCCTGAGGCTTCAGCAAAACAACATGGACAAGATGGGCATCAAGCAGTCTGCGAGCACTGCGTGACTGCTCGCCTGAAACTCTGCACTTCTCACCAGAAAGTCGCATTCCACTATCTGATTTGCGAAGTCTGGGGTTTGAGGGTAGCTCACATGACATCCTCTAATTTTCTCAATGCTGTTCCTGGGCATGAAGCAGGGGAGACAATGATCAAGGAGCAGCTGTGGCCTTCTCTTGGGCTCTTCGCCGCCAGCCAGCTTTTGCCGGAGGAAAGCAGCAGCCTACGACACAACTCACGCATGCAACAATATGGCAGCAAAACCATTAAATGCACACAGAAAAAAAAAAAAGCGGAAAAAACATAAGCAAACAACAGCAAGGAAATGAGCTTAACAGAGCAGTTGGAGGCCGGTCGCGATTTCACCGCTGGCCTTTGGCGTGTACTTCATATGCGCCAGGGTGTGCTGCAGCGTCTTCCGCTCAGTTTCTGTCACGCCCTTCCCATCCTGTGCTGACCGCCAAAGGTTGTAAGCCTCGGCATAGGAGATCTGGCCTGAGATGCGTAGTCTGGGGATGATTCGGATGCGGGATGCTGTGCAGAAAAACAGCAACTGTAGTAACAGCCAAGAAGCCATCTTTGACGAACCTGTCTGCCATGTCCAGCAGCTCTCCTTAGTTAGTCGCAGATAGTCCATGGGTGGGGTTTCAGGCTGGATGTCTAGCCATTGCCCAATGCCTTGCTTAAGTGCGTGTCAGGCATTCATAGTAGCCAAGACATTAAGAAGCCAAAAAATGCAAAAGCAGCTTTCGGTCAAGCAGTTTGACGCCTGATAAAGTGTTCCTTTTATTCTTTAAGTTCTGTTGGCTCATGCTTGCAACTGCAACTTGCCGTCCGCAACATACGCTTTGCAGCTCAAGCTCAAACACCGCAACTTTGCTGCACAATTTTGGGCCAAGTACAAGCGTGGCACAGGAGGCACTTCGTTGTCAGCTCCGTTGCAATCATTTGAATTCATTGGAGAAAACAAAGTGCGTTCTTGCAGCTCCAGCTCGAGCTCAAACGTGTTCGGGGCCCTGTCCCTCAAGCTGAAAGGTAAAGGGTTCTTGTACAACCCCACATCCAAAGTCTTTCTGCAGTAGCAACTCAAAAGCGTCAATAATAAGCTGTTCTCCGAGGAACTATCATACCGCTGGCCATTGACCTGCGCACCATATTGACTTCACCAAGCATCGCTTCACATGGAAACTGAAATCCCATTGTCAGCGCGCCTGACGGTAGTAGCTGGTTTTCCTCGGGCTCTTCAGCAGTGGCTGCAGGAAGCCTTGTGCCTTTTTGGTGTAGTTGAAGCACTGCAGCGTGCGCTGCCTCGGCAAGCTCCCAGCAAGCACTGACTGCTGATTTTTCTTTGGGAATTGCTTGCATGGCGTTCCGGACAAGCATGGCTCACTTTGGTTGGACATGCCAAACGTAAAAGGACAATCAGCCAGGAAGCAGCACCTCTAACTCGTGGGGCGTCAAGCTGCCATCTGCCCACAGCTCCTATGAGAATACGCCCAACGAAGCTCGTTGCTGCAAACACGCACTGAGCTTCCTAGAATCGCTCCTTCGCCTCGGCATGGGAGATGCGGCCGTCCGCCGCAAAGGCCTTCGCCTGGAGCATGCGATCGCAGCTGCCGGAAAGCTGCAACAGGATGAGGGTTTAGCAGCTCTGTCTTCCCCCCTCCGTTGCCCAGTCTGAAGTGCTGGAATACAAGGACAAAGTGTCCCCAACTTTCTGCAGGATTCAACAATGCGGGCGGCAACGTCCAAGAAAACCGAGAAACGTGTCATGGGCCTTGATGCCACAAGGGCATGCTTGCAAGGGGTACTTGTTGAAAGTCTTTCATGTGTCTCATGCACCTGACGATAAACCCAGTCAACCAAATTAGTCTCTCTCTCAGCAGCTCAGCGAACAGAGTCAGGGATGCAAAGAAAGCTGACCATGCGTCAGAACAACTATGCAACGGAGACGAGGAAAATAACACCTTCCACCTATCCCGCTCTTTGCTTCCAGCCTTGCGAAACAGCTCCTCATCCTCCACCGATGGCGCTGGCCGCTTCACTGGACCCATGGCGAGCAAGTAAGCGACGAGCACCAAAGCACTTGCAACTTGGTGCATTGTTTCTCCTCAAGCTGCTTGGATACACAGGTGCTTTGTTAAAGTGGCTGACGTGTCCTGGTTGGCACTGCGGTAGCGTGTCTTCAACCATACCCGCGATGCAGCATGTTACGCCTAGCCCCTTCCTAAAACCCTTGTCCCCATGGTAAACATGTCAACCTCCGAACCTTTGGATCGAGGCCCCAGCAGCACACAGCGGCACGAAGCTCCATGGCACTGGGCCACGCTTGCCCTTCTCGCCCTTCTCGCCCTGCAACAACGGCAACCGTGCGTCGAATGACCTGTCTGCATGAAGTGCATGCACTGCGCGGCCGCTGTGGGAGCCGCACGCTTTTGGTATTCGAAAGCGGACAGCCTTGCGACCCTTGTCGCCCTTCTCCTGGCCCTTCTCCTGGCCCTTCTCCTGGCCCTTCTCCTGGCCCTTCTCCTGGCCCTTCTCCTGGCCTTTGCCTTGCAGGGCCAGGGTGATCCCATGCTCAGTGTCGGTTCCGTGCCTCCACGCCCAAAGGCACCCTTTGGCCTAGGCATTGCCAAATCCAAGCTCTAACTCATCTACAAGTGAGCGGAATATCGCTTGAACATGTCACGCTTGGCAGAGAATGGCGATGTCACTGTGTCACTCTTTGCCCGGAAGACGCAAATTCCATGGTCCGCCCAAATTGCATCGCGTCCGGGGCTTCCACGCTCCCTGGCCCTGGTAGCCGCCCTGACAGAATGCTCCGCTGAAACACGTTCGACACAAAAAACAGAGGCAGCCGCCTCAACATGGGTAAAGTGTTGTACCTAGATCTGACACATGCATCTATTCTCTACGGATGTTGATGCATAGGGTAGAGGCGAGTACTAGCAAACTGTAGCGCGGAACATAAATATATAGCTTTTTTTTTTGAGGGCCTGTAACAGCGGCGGAGGACCTTCCTTACGTACCCTGGTTACATACCCTATGTAACGAAACCTGCTGGCTGATTCCATACCCCTCGTTGCATACCTTCGTTGCACACCTTACATGAACAACCGCCTGGCTGGTTGCATGCCCCTCGTTGCATACTCCGATGCGTACCCAGACCACACTCTGAGGGATTTCCCACAAGTGCCAAAGAGTTTGCCATTCAGAAACAAGTTGGAGCACGTAGCAAGGGGGCCGAAAGAAGGAAGCCTTGCACCCGGAGCTCCTGGCTGCCTAATCCGGGAATGCACGACGTCCTCATTCGGCCATCCATGATGGCAGCACGCCCATAATCAATGAAGTACTTGCATGAGATGAAGCCTTCTTCAAAAACAGTCTGCGCCGCATAGCTGGTCGCGGGGGCGAGCCGGTGAAAAATGGAATAAACAGAGTATTGATTAAATTGCTGCCAATTGGCTCCTGAAGCTGACGGCAGTCTTGCCATTCAATACAACACCAGCCTCAAAACTATACAATTTAGAAGCGGACAACACCAAGCACCTCAACGACTGTTGGCTTGTCACTCCTCCAGACCACCCTGCAAAACTGGTGCTTATTCAACATCATGTGACATGTCCTTACTGTCTGCCCAACTCTTGAAAGCATGGCCAATGGTGTGGCTCAACCGGCGGGCTCCGCCTTGCCCCAAGCGTTGCCCTTCATGAGGCCGAGCAAACAGTTGCGAGGCTGGCTTGTCGCTATTGTGCATCGTTGTCTTTGGCATGCTGCAACTGCTGCAGACTCCCAAGGTCTGGCTGGGCTAAGGTGTTGGCTGCTGTGGCAGCTTATGCCAGCGGATTCATGGGTGATGTCTAGCTAAGGGATGTAGGGTGAACAACTGCGAACACCTCTCAGCAGAAATTATCCTTGCTTGCATCCATGTTTCCAACTTGCTGTGCGATCATAGCTGAGGCTGCGGGGAAGCTGGCACACATCTCAGAATTCCCAGTCTTGACCTTCCCGTGTCAAAAGAAACGAAGGTTATTGGCTATTCTGCAGTCAAGCACACCAGACCTGACTCTGCGTGTGATTGTTTATCCCTTTCGTTCCACACAGTCAGCCCTTGAGATCGGGACAGCTGATCGTACTGGTCCTCCAACTCGTTGGCACGCCGAAGGGCCACAGTGCCGTTTGCGCTTTCAATGCTCAACCTTGATTGCAGCAGCATAAGCCCATACAAAGCTGTAGCTCAAATTGGCTCCCCACTCCTAGGTGTTCGGGAGGGAAAATGGGAGGGCAACCAGTCCAACCAAGTAAGGTTATGCCGTCCTTGGTTTGCTCTTCTCTCTCTTCAACATTCTGGGGAACTCAATGTGAATGCATTCACAGGCTGCAAAGACTAAGATGGCGGCTTCTCGGTGTAGATTGACAGGTCATCAATGGACTGGCGTTCCAACCCTGGTGTTAACCCCGACTCTTGTGAGTTTTCAGGGTTCAACCACGCTCAAAGAGCGGCTTGTGAAGGCTTTTTCTCATTGATTGGCCTATACAAGCAAGGGGTCTCCATGCACAACGGCAGCCAGGCGCGATGATGCCGGGCGAATGCTTTGCAAGAGAAGTGCACCAATTGCTGCCCGGTGGTCCTACTTTCGACGACACGTCGATATGTCAGGCCCACTGTGCCACGCACAATCCCCACGCCTTCTGCAGCTTCTCGCAGCGGTCTTCAAAATCCACCGCTCGCTGGGTCACCTGCACCCTCTGCTGGCGCTCCGTTGCGAGCCTCGCCCAGCAGAAACAGCAGCATCAGTAGCAGGCAGCGGCAACCAGACTGCTCCTCATTCCCTCAGATTGAAGCTCTCGAATTTGAAAGGAAACCTCTGATACACTTCCAGCGAAGGCTTTGGTAGAGCAAAAGCGTGCTTCATTGCAAACATGTCTGCCTGATGCTTTGATGCTTGTCTGCAGGTGCAAGGCAATTTCCGAAATTAGGGCATGGGATTTTCACCGAAGCAAGTTCTCGTCGGTCTGCTGAGTCCGTCACACTTCCGGGAGGTTTTGCAGACGCAGGTCCTGGAAGCAAGTGTGTGAGGCAAATCCTCGTATCATACCAGTGACATACAACAACCAGCAAACGGTCGCTGGCAAAGAAATGTATTATGTTGAAAATATGTCGCGATGCTCGGCAACCGAAAATGATGGCACAGTGGCCCCACATTAAATGCCCGTCCTTCTGCACCATCCAGCACCGCTTCTCCAGATCCTCCACGAAGTCACCTCAAAGATTCTCACAAGGCAGCTCTCTTTGCCTGCCGCGGTTAGAGCCACTAAATAAACATTATCACTGTATAAGCGCTCCCAAGTAGCTGAACAACTGCCTCTGCTGCCTCTCTTTTGTCAGCCTCGGCCGATGCGCCAGGTCAACATCGAGTACAATAGCAAGTGCTCTCAAATCGCCACCATTGAGTCTGAGGAAGGGTCAAGCTCTCCAAATCCTTTGCATCCAGCATAGCCTGCGAATTGGGGCTGCGCGTGACAATGAGCTTGCCCTCCACACGGCGCAGAGCGCTGACTAGGGCAGCTCTCCAGATCTCGGCAGGGCGCACCTGCTTCCAGCCGCGCTCGTAGGCCCTTGTCTGCCTCTTCGCCTCGTTCAGCTCAGCCAGCAACTTCGCCTCCTGCGAATGCAAAGAAAGATCTGGTGCCTCGCTTTTGAGCTAGTGCTTGATCCATGACCGGTTCTTGTGGTACTGGGAATCAGGGCAAAGTGGAATGCGGCTTGAAAATCATCACAACCGAGCTTGAAGCTACTCCAGACTTTGCTCAATGAATCATCACTTCTTCTGATCGTTGGCTTGATTGGAGAAGAGAGTATTCAAGCATGGTTTTGCATACTCCTTCAACATGCATCTTGGGAAGCCATTCCTGTTCCTATCCTCTACCCTCAAAGAAGTGTCTATGACTTGCCTTCAGGCTTCAGCTGCCTTCGTCTTTTTGCCCTCGCTCTCAGACTCACGGCTCCACTTTGAGAGCTGCGAGGGCACAACACTCAGCCATCTCTCATGCTGCCTGCCCCCGCAGGTCTTTGGCAAAACATAGACCGCAAACGGACATCGCCCCAGCGCAACAACTTGAATCAGCTCCGATACGGCCATGCTTGTCTTCGAATATCAAGAGCACTGACAATCTCAGCTGGGCTCGTGCAGTGGCTACCAACTTCAGCTGCATGACTCTGCATGACTGTGAACATCTGCCCCAAGCTTCGAGTGCCGCGCATGCCTTTGGATCGATGGCTCGAGTGGACAAGTCAATCGCCTGGCGATGCAGCAGCGCTCGCACCGACCAGAGTTTCAGCGTGATGCCTAGCCCATCGGGCCTTCCCAGAGCTGGTCTTGTATGGGCCATAGGAGGAGAGGACTTTGACCTCTCAAGCTCTGGTCATTGGTAGCCCTTGATGGAACTCATGATTGGTTTGGAGCCATTGGAGTGCTCAAACAAGCAGATCTGATACGGATGAGTACGTCGTACGCGACGACGTAGTCATCACTTCAAACGCAAGCCATCTGCATCGTTGGATGCCGTTTCACATCTCGAGGGAGCTCCCTCTTTGTCTCTCGTCAACCAAAACAACTGAATGACACTTGGCGCAGCACCTCTTCGACCTGCTTCTCCTGCATGGACAATGAAATACAATGTGTCTTAGCAAGAGGCAGAGCAATGCCACGCATCATGATTATCTGATTATCCTCTGCAACAATTCAACAAAAGCTGTTTGTACTGGCCCGAAGAGATGGGGCCAGCCAGCACCACACGGACGGCCTCCAACATTCCAAATATCAACAATGTTCCACCGTACTTTTGCATTGGCAATGCTCCCCACATTGATTCCCCAATCTCAGTGAAAAGGATGCTTCATACCACATTCAAACCACTCAACATCAGTGAAAAGGAAAGACAACACAACTCAGCACCAGTAGTAGCCTGAGACGTTAGCACATCAACTTGACCGTCTGACCAATGCTGGCCTGCTTTGCCCACTTTGCAGCAGCATCCATTCGCCGCATCTCTTGCATGCGCTGCATCTTGTTCCGAACAACCTCGCATGACGCATTTGATCCAGAAGTTTGAGTATTGTGCTTGCAAATCTGGTGAATAGACACCAAGCTGACTTGAAGCATCGACCGGCTCTGAACCTTGCCCCTTGACGCGATGTGGGATCAATGTTCGTCTTGAGGGGGCCGTTGTCCAATTCATGCATGCCTGACGAACTGATTTACTGCATGGTTGCCTACCTATCTGAGATGCGCGCCTTCCTCCAGTATGATCCATCCTAGCCATACGAGAAGTCGATCTGTGCATCTTGACTCATGATAGTTCAAGGGCGCTGGAAACGGGTAGTGAAGTCTGTAAATGCACGTTGACATGGCTATCTTTGACTCTGTGCAGGATCATCTTCCCGTGGATTCCGTGATCTTAGCTTGGCGTGCTTTTCTTCCGGTGCGGGCTCCTTTCTTCTGTGTGCTGCATTTCACAAAGAGTTTCAATTCAGCAAGCATCATTGAAACAGGATCGCTCGAGGTATTGTTTGCAAGTATGGTCAAAAACTGGTGTGTCAAGTTCTGGGCCTCTCGGATGCTGCATTCACCTGACACTGCCTGCCTGCGCTGTTGCGTAGTTGCTTGCTTGACCTAACTTTTTGCTTTTGCTCTTGTGCTTGATCCTGCTTTTGCTTTGGATTTGTTGTTTGTCTTGCTTTTACTCTTGACTTTGCTGAACGCCGCCTTCTCTGCTGCTGTTGATCGCTTCGTTTGTATTTCGGTTGCTTGCCAGTGCACGAATAACTTTACAGGCTCCGCTGGTATTGCTTTTGCTCTTCTCAAACTTGTGGTTCCTGAAGATTTGCGCTGCGCGGTCTCATTCATATTGGTTGTGTAGTGTCTCTCTTTGCTTTTTCACCAAAGGTTTGTCTAGGCAAACTAAATGGCCACACAGACCTCCCAGCACCAAAGCCAAAAGAGAGACAGAGAGAAAGAGACAAAGCGAGGAAAAAGAAAAAGAGGCGCCCTGCCTCGTTTGGTTGCACGACGGTGACGTCACAGCTGTCGTCGTACAAGACCAGCACGGACCCACCCCACCTGCCACGGAGCTACCCGTTTCCATGCGCTACATAATATTTACTATATGGCAGGCTCAAGGCACACGTTGATTTCAGATTACGCTCGGTGCGCTGCATGTTGTGGCAGCAAGTGTCCAGCAAAGAACCAGTTTCGGTGTAAAGATTCCACCAGCTATTTGCAGAACCCAGTACTTACTGCGTTGCGAAAGGGCAAGTCAAAGTATTGCCTCAGGTCACGAAACGACATTGCACGTTCCTTGGACAAATCTTGAAACAACTGCTCCTTACGCTTCGATTGCTAGTAGCAACTCCATGGCCTGCCGTCGTCCTATGCTTTGACTCATCGTGCGCAGCTTTCGCTGGAAAAAGGATGCATGCCGGCCACGCAGCCGCCATAAATCAGGAGTCGCGCTTTCTGGCTAAGCAGAAATTACAGCATAAACATCTCAGCATCAACTGCATGCAGAGGCACATTCCAGGAATGTGTCAGTGGCTATGCACAGTGCACACGTCGGAGCTTGTTGTTGCAGGGAACAAGTAAAAGTCAGCTAAAATTCAGCATCCCCATTTGGATGAAGCAAATGTCTGCAAGGCGTTGACCCCGAAAAAGTGTCCAGCACCAAGCTCGGGCAAACCTATAAGGGGAGCATCAGAAGAAGATTCAAAGCGCCTCAAGGCCACAAGGCTCCCACGCAAAGGCCATCTGGTGACCCGAAACTGAAACATGTCCAGAAGCCAGTGAAGCTGTGGACTTGAGCAACTGTTCACAATTCCAGCTCTTCCTTGTGCTTGACTTGTTGAAGCAAGGAAGTGCTTCAGTACTTAACTTGGTACAAAAAGTCTCCTCAACATTGTTCATGCTATGTATCACATTTGCATCAGGCCTAAAGGTCACAACCTATGCCAAGGTTGCGAGGACAGCAGGTTACCATGAATAGAAAAGAAGTTGCTCTGCTCACAAGGTCTTACGAGCGAGCACTGCCAGTGTACGTACTGACCTCCGCCTGCGCCCATTGATTCACAAAGGACGGGGCATGCGCATTGCGAATTAAGTCCATGACGGTGAGGTGTTTGCCGTGAAATTACACATGTCAAACTCTTGCCTTGGCCAGACTTCACCTATCTCCCGTAGTTGGGACCAGGCGCAGAACAAATAGAACAACGCGTGATGCTGCAAGCCTCTTTCAATTCCAGCCAATCCAATTGAGTTGACAGCACATGCTGGTTCATATCGATGCATGTCTTTCGGTGGACCATTTGGCCGTCGGCAGCCAACTGTCACACTGTTGTTTGGTCTCGAGCCCAGCTACTCTGAGCAGTGCATATGTACCAACGCTTGGCATTGTCTCCTTCTCCCGCTAAAAGTGCCCATCAAAGAGCAGTCCTCCTTGGCCGTCCTTGGGTCTAGACAGGCTCGCTGAAACAAACACCAAGCTCGTAAGGGAACATGCAGTCTAGCAGCATGGGCGCAAATTACGAAAAAAATGAAAAACTGAAGACTGTTGGCTGATGACGGTCGTTGGGCATCGCTGATGAACCAAACTCACCGTCGCTCGACACATTCTGGAGGGGATCTTGGACAAAACAAGTTATCGTTGACTGTAGAACAGCCCTCACCTAGCTATGTCTGGCCTGTCTAATGGGGCCCATGCCTCGCCAGTACAACCTGAAATCCTGGAATGGCATGGTCTAGTGGCTTTGGGCAGGGGAGCTCAAGCTTCAGGCGGCCAAGCAACATATCTTGCAGGCCGTGCGCCGTCTACGTGCAGCTTTGCGCTTGGCCCTGGCCTGACATGCGCTTTGATGAAGGGGGGGGGGGGGGTTGGGGGCTGGGCTGTGGACTTGGATCAAAGCAAGGCGCAAACATTGCCAGCCTCAACTCTCAGTGCCAGCGCCCGCTGCCTGCACTGTGGCCTGAGCAAGTCCCGGCCACGTGAGGTGTATGCCTCGCAACTCGGAAAGAGAGCGTACGAAAACTTCCAGACTCCACGGTCCGTCTTCCCCACCGCCTGCGCGTCCAGCAAAGGCCGTGTCCGCGCCAGGCGCGGAGTTTTAGGTGGGCCCGGGCACGAAGGCCAGCGCCTGACCAACAAAGAGCTGAGCTCAGTCCGTGCTCCGCGTTGCAACCATTATCCCCTCTCTGACAAACAAATGAAAGATCAAATCCAGGTACCGTTGGAAGTGGCCGTACGCCGCTTGCCAGGGTCGCGCATGGTACGTCTATAGGTTCATGTGTACAACAAACTTGCAATGGATGTAGCAAAACAAGCTACATCAGGTTCCACACGTTCCTCTGACATCTTCGCTCTTCCAATCAGTCTCTCAGCTGGGCCTCTTCCAGGGGAAGATCTTCCTGGCACGGGTGTGTTCCAAACAGGAACCGATCTGCACGCAAACCAAAGGCATCGACATGTATTTTCCGGAGAACTCTCACTTTGAGTTAGTTATATTTGGCACCGCCTTTTCAAGTACTCAACTGCCCTTGCTACATAGAGTCATGCGAAGCATTGAGATACATTGAGAACTGTTTCGTTTGCGGACTGGCATCTTTTGCCGAGGAAC